CTTTCTTTCTTTCTTTCTTTCTTTCTTTCTTTCTTTCTTTCTTTCTTTCTTTCTTTCTTTCTTTCTTTGTCTCTTGTCTTTTTGAGACAGCGTTTCACTATGTAGCTCAAGCTGGCCTTGAACTCACATCAATCTTCCTGCCCGGCCTCCCAAGTGAGTGCTGGGATTACATGCTGAAATGAGTTTCATATATACCGCATACATATAGGCCATGTATTTCAATCTATTCTGTTGGGGCTGGGGAGGTGGTTCAGTAGAATAAGCACTTTCCTGGCAAGCGCAAGGACCTGAGTTCAGTCTCCGGTTCTGCAAAAACAAAAACAAAAAAAGGCTATTCTATCAAACTGTCGTTTAATTGATGTAGTTAGATCATTTACATTTAACTTAATTATTATTTGGGGGCATAAGTGTGGCAGTTTGTTATTTTTTCAGTTTAATATCTGTTCTTCATTTATCTGTTATTTCTTTTCCCACATATTACTTGAATTCTATTTTTATTTGTCTTCAATGCTCTTAATGTAGATGTTAATGTAGCTTTGATTAGTTGCTGTAGGTATTATACTGCATATATACAATTTATCAAAGTCTAGTGATGTCATTAAGAGTTTGAATGAAGTGTGGGAATTTCCTGTCTTCTTTTACGCCAGATGGGCGATATGCTGACACTGTAACAAAGCTTTTGAAGGAAGCCACATTTTACACAGCAGCATGAAAACACCATCTTCATGCTTATAAACTGCAAAAAGAGCTCCTTATTTTTATAATATCATCCTAATTATATGACCTATACTCATTTTCTTTTCCAGTACTAGAAATCAGATCCAGGGCCTTTTCCTTGAGCTGCATCCTCATCCCCTGATCGTTTTTCACTTGGAGACTTACATTGCTTCTTCTCTTCTGTTGTGTCCAAGCCATCTTCTTTTATCACATTATTTTTATTTAAAGATTTTCCAGTACCAATTATTTTAGGGTAAATCCATTGACAAAAAATTCTTTTGTTATTATTCATCTGAGAATGCCTTTTCTGTCCCTTCAGGGCTGAAAGATACTTGTCTGGATTCTGAGTTGACGGTTGTTTTCGTTCATCATTAAGAAACAAACAAAAACAAACTTCTGTACCACTTCCTTCTGCCTCCTATGATTTCTAGCAAGAGAACCCACTGCTATTTAATTGTTTATCCCTATGTGTAGAGAAATACACATAATATGTCATTTCTCTTGCTACTTTCAGAATCTTTTCTTTCTTTTCCATTTTTGGAAGTTTAATGATATGTCTTGTGGATTTCTTTAGGTTTAGACTGTTGGGGATTTTCTCAGTTTTGAGAATACGTAGGTTTGTGCAGTGTAACATTTTTATTTTGTTCAGTTTTTTTATTCACTTATTTTTAAGTTTGGGATGTTCTTAATCACTAGTTCTTTAGATGCTCCTTTCAGAATTTTGAAGACGGAAATGTAGATCTTTTCGTTACTCTGCAGGTTCCTGAGACTCTGATCATTTCTTTTTTCAGTCTCCTTTCCTTAATTGTTCATACTGGGCAATCTCTCTTTTCCATCTTCCAGTTCCCTACTCTTCTTTATTCTGTTACTGAAGAAAGAGTTTTTCAGTTATTATATTTTTTGTTCTAAAATTTCCCTTTTTTTTCTGTATTTTAGGAAAGGGTCGACAGGGTGTTCAGTGTCTCACTACTAGATCAGACGCGTAGTGATCCGTCTGCTTACAGCCTCCCAAGAGCTGGGATTACAGGCGCGTGCGCCCTCACGCCCAGTCTCAATTGCCTTCTCGGTGAGCCCCAGGGGCGGGGCCGGCACGGCAGGCCTGCGGATAGAACCCCACAATCTGCTGAACTATTTGGCCAGCCCTCTAAAATTTCCCTTTGATTTTTCGTCATTTCTTCTATCCCCCCCAACCCCCGTCCCCCCCCCCCTTTTTTTTTTCATTTCTTCTATTTCTTTGCCAAGACTTTCTGGGCCTTTGTTTCAGGCACGTTTGCAATTCCTCACCTGTCTTCTCTTACTGGAGTGGTGTCGGTGGAAGCCGACTAAAACACGAAGTTTAAGTAAGATACAGAGTGGCACAACCTAACCGCCCAGTGTCCACACTTCAATTTAAAGAAGTCACTTATTCTGTGAAGATCTCAAACTGATGGCAAAATACAAGGACAACCAACAGGTACCAATCACAGAGGACAGAGGGTTTGTTGTTGTTGTTGAGTACAGTGGGCTTTATGGATGGTGTGCAACGGCAGCGAGCCCGGGCTCCCGAGGCCCTCCCCTGCTAGGGGCCTGGGATGGAAACTGTGATGGGGACATGCTCAACGCTGGGGCTGAGCAGGGCAGCAGTGACTTCCACAGCGTGGCCTCTCCGGCCCTCTGCTTTAGGTGGGCTGGGGGGGGGAGGGGACCTGCTCCTTGGAATGACCTGAAGAGGACTTCACAGCAGCCACACGTCCAGGCGCTGTCCCTGCGAACGCTGAGTGCGGTCCCACCTCCCGCAAGGCCTCTGATGCGCACAGCAGAGGGACAGACTCACCGGGCGCCTCCCAGACAGCCGCAGTGGGCTGGCGGCAGCAAAGTCCCGCTCGCTGCCTGGCCTCCTCTGCCCTGCCTGGCCGGGGTCGGTGCTGGGCCTCGTCACTTAGAGCAGAAGAGGGTGCAAGCCCAGGCCCTGCACTTGGCCTTCTCTGGTACTGGAGCTGCTTTTTTCTGTGGCGTTTGCTTGGAATAATTTGATTAATGTCTCAGAAGCAGCCCCTTTCTGCCTTCTAGGCTGCCCCCTTCTGGTCTTTTTGAGACACCCTTACTTCTCCGGCTGTGCCTATTGGAACTTGTGGGTTATGGTTCTCTAGCAACCGATTTAAGATATTTAAACAAAAAAGAAAACCTGAGGAATTTAAAGTTTTAAGTTCTACTTAATGAGGAGAGAAATTTAGCCATATTTTTACTTGATAATAGAAGTAGAAGTCTCATTTCGGCTGTTGTCATCCCATTCTTTGAGATAATAGTCTACCCAACCATAGAAACACTAATGAAGTGAAATCAAAGTGTGCAGTTAAGATCAAATGCACAGGAGATTGTTACTGCTTAAAGGCGCTTTATGAAGCAAGAAAGGCTTGAGGGCCCATCCCACTTAGTAAATGCCATCCTGTAAGTCCTGTAGTTCCCCAAGCATTAGCTACTACAAGCTCAAAAACAATTCATACGTGTTCACTATATGTCAGACACTGTGTTGAGTAACTTGGAAATGCTCTCAACAATCAAATACAGGAAATATTATCATTAAACCTATTTTACAAGCGAGGAAGCTGAGACTGAGAGACTTACATAGCAAAATCCGGAAGTAGAAGTAATTCTGTCTGAAACCAAATAATGAACTTCTTTTTTTTCCCACTCAAAATCTTTTACTTATGGTAGTTAATACCCAAGATAAGTTAAAATCAGTCCTCATCTCCTTTTATTAATACTGAAGGAGATTCTTTAATCTAGGAGTTAATTGGAAAGATTCTCACCCTGACTAACTATATATACTGATACCTGGGAACTAAGCTACTGCACTGCAGATGGTAATTTGTAATAGTTGTTTCATGATGGGAGTGCCTGTCATTGTGGTATTCTGAATATGGGCGGCTTGACATGACATGCCAGTTACTGCTAAGATGTCTCTCGGGTAGGTGGATGTTCAAGAAGAAGGGGGTGGTGAATGAAAGCAAGAGACAGGAAAAGGAATATTGTGGGACTGTCCTGCTTCAATGTTGTATACGGTGAGATTTTTGGACTTATATGCAAACATGAGAAGCATAGAATTCTTTATCCTATTTTTTAAAATATAATCTAATTTTTAAATGTTTTTTATTATATTATATAGGGACTTAAAGTTCAACATATCAATACTTGATGAAAAATACCTGTTCCTTATTATGCCTAAGATGTTTGAAATGCAGTGAGATAGTGAGGTTAAGATTGATAGCCTAAATCGTTTGATAATAACAATAAGCTTTTCTTCTGGATGGTTAACAACCTAAGTTTGCAGACCAAAATTAGAGAAAAAGGAGGGATACAAGGAAAGCCAACATTTTGGCCCTAGCCTTTCAAGGTCAATTAAGACTCAGGACATATGAGAACTTGTACTGTAACGTCATGTACCTCAGTAGTGTCCCAAATTTTCTGATCAAGAAGATTATGGGGCCAAAGAGGAAAGTGATCGATGACATAGAGTGGGCCTAAGGAGAGTCACATGGGGAGAAGACACTCTCTCAGGCTTTCACAGAGAGCACATTGACCAAGCAATGGCCGTGACTCATCCGCATGGCTGCACTGATAAAGGTTCTACAATCTGAGGTACAGGATCTCAGGACAAATCCTGAGGGCATTTCACTGACCTTCTCAGACCAAAAAGCTACAACTCTTGTTGCATAGGTCCTGCTTTACCTTGGTCTTAACCATCCAGTAGAAAAAAGTATGAAGACGAAATATAAGAAATAAAGCCATGCTGTTAAGTTGAGCTGTCGGGACTCAGGTCAATAATTTCTGACATTGCCAGTTAAACAGAAGACCCAATGCTATTATGGGCTACTGGACTCTTTTAGAATATTTTGCTGAGTTTACACACCTATAATATTCAATAACAGAACTTAGAAAAAATGGGGTATACCGATGAATGTCCATTTTGTATCTGTGTATTCAAAGTGGTTGGGATAGATATATAGTTGCATTCTCTTAATGAATAGAATGATTTGTTCTAATGGTGTTTGTAAGTAGGATCACAAGTCTGCTTCTTGTACAGCAATTAACCACTAAGAAGAATATATGCAGTGTATTATTTGTTGAAACTGTACTTCCGATTTTATTTGAAACTGTCTCATTGCTATCTGTTTATCAATAAAACTTTGGAAAAAAAATAATACTGAAGGAAAAAGACAAAACTATTGTTCACTGTATAATAAATCCAGAAACAAATCTGTTTTAAAAGTTTCAATTTTTTTAACTATAAGGCAAACTCTATGGATACTTTGGGGCTCTTTCTTACATCTGCTTGACAACTAAAAAACAAAACAAACAAACAAGTAAAAAACAGCAAGAACTTGACTACTACTGTAGACAGAATCACTTAAAGACCAAATAATGAACTTTAATCTCTCGGCCATACTGATTAATTCCTTTCATAATCAAAAGCAATATCTGCTTAGTTCTAACCAAAAGTAAGCTGTTGTCAAAATAATAGAAATTTAAAAATAATGGGAGCACACAATAGTATATGCCACAGCAACTTCAAAGTCCGGTACGTAGACAGCAAACAAACGATGAGCAAATATTTGATTTAGGAGCAAAGACTTCTGACAGTGTCGCTTGCCTCTATGCTCTTAGCTTCTGTGTGGGAGAGTGATGTGTAGAAACAGGCTCTGTTCTTTAATTGAGTGAGATGGAAGGTGCGCCAGCATTATGAATCACAAGACAATGAAATATTTCATGTGGCTTTAAAGCTCTTGGGCCTGAGGGAAAAATACATTCCTAGTCAGTGAAGTGTTAGGAGGCCATGTATCAATTTATCTACTTTTTCAAAAGTACTTCTCCATGAATGATATCCTTTCCATTAACCAAATGCATAGTATTACTGTCATCTTTGAATTTGTTCTTTCCCCTTAGGACTAGGCTTATGGGCAATGTCCTTCTGCACAAATGCCCCTCACAATTATTAGAAAGCTCATTTTTTTCTTGTTTATAGTCTACTCTCTTCTCTCTCCCAACTCTCAA